CAAATCTCAATTCCAGACAAGTTGGAACAGTTTGTCAAATGCTTATAAAGAAAGTAGTTATAAGTAAATTCTGTTGACTCGTTAGACCAGAATACACATTTCCGCTGTGCATCAGTCCACCAGTGTGCCCAAAGTTTTATTACACACTTCTTTTACTTCAGAACAGCTCAGCCAGTTTGCACTGAAGTCTCAGTAGTTACTGAATAATAAGCCTCAGTATGTGATAAATCTGGGATTTTAAGGCGTGAACTTGCTTTTGTGGATGCGGCAGTGAACGGCATTTATTGACAACAGCTAGTAAAAACCAGAGTCTAAGTGGTGATGTCCTTCACAAGAGCCGTTTAATACATTAATTGATGCAGTGCCATCTGAGGGACTGAAGGTCATGGTCACCCTGTTGTGCCCGTTAAACACAGACATTTCTCCAGATTCCCTGAATCTTTTGATGATGTTAAGCACTGTAAAAGGTAAAAATAACTAAAATCCTTGCAACTGCTCATAGAGGAATGTTGTCTTTAAACTGACCAGTTGACTCATCATTGCTCATAAAGGCCTAGGCCTTTCTTGGGCATCCAAGAATACCCAAGCATGATTACATCACCTGTTTAAAATGTTTTTTCTGAACATTTTACAATGTCTTGGCTAGTCTTAGATTACTACTGTTCTGACTGTTTTGGAAAGTGTTGCAAGCATCATTTTCTGCATATATTTACCAAACAATGAAGCTATGGTAAACATTAAATATCTTTGTAATACTTTAATTTAAAAACAGGTTAAAGTGTATTTACAAATCACTGCTTTCTGTTTTTATTTGCATTTCACATCCTGTACTAGATTTTTTGGACTTGAGGTTTGTACATGTCAGTATCATGGCAAAAATATAAAGGATGGGGTTTTCTTCCTAGCAAAATAGTATGAATCAAAATGACAAATACAACAGTAAAACATAATTTTTCAAATTCAAATTACACCAAAATACCTTATACTTAAAAACATTAAAGTGTTATGCATTGAAAGGTTATAATCAGGCACATGCACAGACCCCAGGAAGGCTTTGAGTCCCATGCCCTTTTGCCCTCACACTGTACAAGTGTGTTTTTATGCTGTTTTCCCTATTGTTAAAAATTGGTTTCTGCAGGGCACAACTGGCTTAGCCTTTCCCTAGAAACAGAACTCTTGGTTCAGCTTAGGTTCTGCAAGCATCGTCGCTGTTGGGCTCCCTCTAGATTTCACCTCAGTTGACTCTGACGTGCTACAGATGCACATATTAAAACAGTGATATGAGTTCCACAGATGAAACACTGATAAAGCTCTTTAAGATAACGACTTGGTTATTTTGTGGTTAAAACTGTGAACAACAACCAAACATAATGTCTGAGGTTTTTAAGAAATACTAATAACTCAAAACTGAGTTGGTTATCGTAAAAAAAAAAACAAATTAATGCCATATGTTATAACTCTCGACTAACCATCTGCAGTTATCTACAGGACTACAGATTAACCCCACAGCCAAGTATCCTAGGACACTGAGGCTTAATTTAGTCTTTTTTTTTGCATGCTACCTTGGCAAAGACTCAAGACTTTTGCTTTCCTCTAAAAGATGATCAGATAATCTCTGGAGAAGAGTGTCTATCATATAAAAAAAACAAAAAAAAAAACAAATAAATTTAATTCATGTTCAGCTTGCCACTTTCCTTAGCCCGCTTAAAATTTCTGTGGTCTGGTTACAAAGCGCACTTTTGATAGAATTTATGTGCTTGTTGAGTTGCAAGTAAGTAATAGTTAATATCAAATTACATCATGCCTTTGGTATTGTTGGCAATAACTGTGACTTAGAGTAAGAGTTAAATAAATAAAGAAAGAAAAGAGCCTTGATTTTAACATCAGTCTCCAGGGAGGGCATCCAATGCAGACTGGGTCGCAAGCCCCTGCAGCAGGTTCTTTAATCCGCTCGGGAGATTTTAATAGGAATGGATAAGGAATTTATTCAGATCTGAAGGAAAGGTTAGTGGTGGCAGGCAGCTGATCACAGCCGATTAGAGAAGCCCGACAAACGAGAGAGAGGCTGTGGGCGCATTTCGAAGGGAAATAGCTCTTTTCCTGCCGTCCTGGCATCAGTTCCAGTTTATTCAGACCCAGACATAGGTCATTCCAGCGTAACGCTTCAGACTGGTCTCAGATCAGCATGAAAAGACAACATTTGCCTCCAGCGCAGAGAGCGTAGAGATTAGAAGCTGGTGGGAAGCGAGGCAGCATCCAGTGTGGCTGTGGCTCAAGCTGCACTGATGATTTGACAGGGCTGCTGATGGGTTTACCCCATGCACAGCAGGACCACGGAACAGCTCCAAAGAGCTGCTTTGTTAGCTGTCACTCACAGGCGCAATTTGAGACAGTGCGGACACCAGAAAGACAGGACAGTCTGGCACGGGCCGGCCACTCTGCTAAGGACTACCCTGGGCAACTCAGCAGGCGCGAAGGTCAAGCAAGAAACTTATTTCCAGATAGGATTTAGAGGTGACCAAGCAGAGCGCAGTTCAGATTTGTCTGACTTGACATTTTTTGATAAAATGTCAATGAACTCATTGTTTTTTATGTGGAGTTCACTGCCTATGCTTTTACTGTCTTCTGGGTAATGGACACACTAAGGCAAATCGCTAAAACTAAAATAGCGATGCAGTGAATCTTCCTGATTCAGATGTGTAAGGGAGAAATTAACTTATGGTAACAGGGACTTCTGAATGTATAACATGGACTTTTATAATGTAGTTAAACAAGTTCAAGTAGAACATGCTTTTGGTCTCCTTCAATGTCATCTGAGAACTCTGACAGCAACTGGACAGATATTTCTTAAGATTCACGTTGATGACTGATTATGTCACATAATTGATACCTATATTGTTTATTTACCCTCTTGGTGGCTGTAATATAACATCTTTTCAAGCAAATAACCAGCTCTCAGTCAGAGCTACCAAGGCCAAAGTACAGCCTCCACAAGGCCAGGTTAGTTTCTGCATGATGTTACTCACATCCCTCCCAAATAAATTCTACTGTTTTTTTTTTTTGTTTGTTTTAATGCACAGATTTATCAAAAACATACTACAGATGTCCTGTATTCAATATGTATTTCAATTTCAGTCATTCTGATATTAGTCCATACACACATACCTTTACTAAGATTATTATTTTACTTTTGTGGGAGTTGTGGCCATTTATCATTTTACAAATTATATTAGACCAATGAAGTTTTTTCGGCTGTTTGCTTACTTTTGGCACTAACTGTGTTGTATTTTTTTAATGTGGAAATGATGTACAGTTTACTTGAATCAAGTGAAGTCAATGCATTACTGTTTTTCAGTGTAACAGTGAAGGCGGTATGGCAATAAATATTGATTTCTTGAGTGTCTTTGGATGAGCCAGGAGTGAAAAACCTCAAATCTTCTCAGAATTTATAAATCTGAGGTCGCAAATGGCCGGTTTGTTTGACATATTCATCAGTTTTGTGGATTTATAAGCCTTCTAAAGCATGGTAATGACATTCTCCAGAAGTAGTCGGAAGGTGCTGGAACAGGAGGCGCTCAAGCGCGCAGCGTTCTGCTGAAATCTGATTACAGCGCAAGCTCTGTTTCTACCCGAATCAAGATTCAGCACGAGGGCAAGAAGCAAGGGGCGTTGTGGCAAAAAAAAAAGAAAGAAAACAAACCAAAAAAAAAAACAGATAAGGGCTGCTGGCTGTACGGAAGGCTCGTTCACCAAGCCGCTGTTTATCTAGCGTGACTGACTCATCTCATAGAGCAGAGAGCAGGCTTCAGTCACACACACCAGCTCATTAGCTACGGTCAGACACACACACACACATACACACACTCCCCCACGCACAGATGCATGAACGCACATGTGCCCACACATACATACAAATACATACATGGAGGTACACTGCATTGCAGATGCAGCCAGATAATTCTCCTTCTATGGGTGGGCAACATGATGGTAGTATGGTAATCATGATTTTACTTTCCTTTGACTTTCCCCTCCTAAGCGGGTGGATTATCTTAGTTCTAATCACCTCACAAATATCTCCTGAAAAATGAGTACCTTGTACTTAATGGCTGGAACTTATACACATAACTGTAAACAGTCTCTGATTATAGCACAGTAGTTCAAGTTAATTTAAAACTCATCTAAAAGTTCTGCTTTTTACAGCTTCCTACTTTTTAGTTGAAACCTATTAAGTTGTACAGTAGTAGCTTCTAAAATGAATCATTTTATACAGGTACTTATAACAAAATTGCTTCTGTATTATTAAAGAAAGGTTGAAAAATTGTGCTTCCAAACTTTATAGTAGTGCAACCCAAATAAAGGAATATATTGTAATATATTTTTTAACTGCTCTTTACTTACAGTTTTTATAGCACTTTTTAAAGATGTGGATGCGTTTTGCTAATGCTCCAACCCATCAAACAACCCCAGAAAAACAAAATATCACCATACATCTTGCATACTGTAACAAAAAGTGTTGTGATGTCATATTTTTTGCTATATCGTCCAACTCTGCTTCAATCCCAAGATGCCAGAGAATGCCACGTCTACAGCTGTCAATCAGGACGCTGCTTCCAACACACAAATCTTCAACCGAAGAGCATCAGCATTTCTGAAGGTGCTGCTTAGCGGCGGATGATGGCTAAGAGAAGAGATTCTGTCTCCATCCTGCCTGGCCACAGTGTAAACAGCAGTGACACAAAGAGAAAGAGAGTAAGCATAGGAGAGCGTACAGGAAGGAAACATGGTTACATTCTATTCAGGCTGAGCGGAATGGAGAGTTGTTTGGCGGTCTTAATATAGGCTTCCTGTGTGCCAGCCACTTTTCCATGCCCCTGGGGTTGTTTTTCAAGGTTTACGTACTTGCAGTTGTAGAAAATCCTCTGGGACTTTTTTCACTATTGTTAAAGAGAGTTTATGTTTCCTGAAAGTGGTGTGTTTAAGCGTGTGTGTGTGTGACTCACAGGCGATGCGGACGTGGGCCTTGCGGCTCTTTGTGGTGCCGGCCGAGCTCCAGGCTACACACTGGCACCAGAAGTCCTCTAGGCCAAAGAGCTCCTCCACCTGCTGCCGAGTTATCTCAATACTGGCCTCTCTCACCACCAGCCCTGAGAGAGATAGAGAGAGAGAGACAGAGAGACAGAGAGAGAAGGGAGACAGAGAAACTATATCAGTACATAATTCATCATATATACAGACAGCATTATAAAAGGTTTGTATAGGATTTTTTTATGAAAGAAAAATAGCTGCGAAGCATGACTATAAGCATGAGTTACTAAATCCACATTTGTCACTGTAGCTTCTGTTTGTACTTCGAAACCAGCCCACTGACCAGATGGTCCAGAGTGAGCGAGCTGGCCTCCCCATTCATGCAAAAAGTTTAACTTGAATAAATAACTAGGGACCCTAGAAACAAAAAGGGCGGTTTTTACAGTTTAATCTCAAACAAAGACTCTCAAAGCATTGCTGTGCTATACGGATTCAAAAAATACTACTACACCGATAACTAACATCATCCTTTACATTCATTGCTGGAAAACGCAGGCATGTTGCACCGGAACCCAGCCACATAATCGGCTTACTGAGCAACAGTGGCAAAGCGCAAACCAGGAAAACAAGATGAGTTATCATAGCCTAGAAATATCATACGACTGCGCCTCATCCATCCATCATTACCATCGCACATTACGTGCGCATTATTCCGCTGTTACGCGGTCTTCATAAAGCAGGCCTGGATGGAGGGCTGAGAGTTAGGCTGTGATTTTACCGTTCCGCCGTGGGTCTGGCGCGGATCGAATGCCAGGATGATTGAGCTGTCCAGGGCCTTTGGAGGCGGATTTGGGGCCGTCATGGCAGCCAGAATCCTGTTTGCTAACCCCTCTGATTATTGTTCATCTGGGCCCTGCAGTCTCCAAACAAATGAAGGCGGCCCACGGCCGGACCCCCTCGGCCCCCAGATTAGCTAGGCTGGGGAGGGGCCATGGCGTCGGTCCCGCACTCATTTTTTCCTTTCTCATCCCTTCATCCCTCTGTAGACTCATTTATTACAGCGAGGATTAGAGCGGTGGAGGTGTGTGAGCTGGGGGGCTCTGCGGATGAGGGCTGGTATCGCTAAACGAATCAGGGAACGCTAAGCATCATATCGTATCATCTCTCTCTCTCTCTCCCCCTCTCTCTCTAAATAGAGGTGGGAGAGGACCACTCTACGCAGCTGTCGTTCTCTACCAGAGGATGGAGTTACTCCTAGCACTGCAGTGTGTTTTTCCATGAGCACTGAAGGAGTTTTGTATGTGTCTGTTTGTTTCGTGTTTTCATAAAGTGCTTTTTACGTAAAGCTTCATGTTTCAAGGACAGAAATATTTCTTTTTGGTTACTCATTATACATAGGTCCTTACATATTCTCGCTGTCAGGACAAAACCTTGTATCTCCAAAAAGGTAACTTTACAGAAGAAGGAAAAAAATCTTCCATACTGTGGAGAACCACATTTTTTTCCAAGTAAATCTGGAGCTTTTCGATTTGGTCCATTCATCAAGAAATTTTATTATTTTACAATGTAAAGGACAACTGGCATTTTCAAATTATGTCATGTCAAATTAGGTTTTCACTGCTTTAATGTTTGTTGGCATTTATTGGAATATCACATGGAATTACATACATATATATGGGACATATTATTATTATATATAGGTAATTCTATATAGTTGCTGTGAGAGAATAATTTTGCATTTTGCATCAATAGAGAAAAGCATACTACTCTAAAAACTCACTTGTTACATTAACTTACATTAAAAGAGACATAAAAACTCAAGTACAGTAAAAAAGGTGACAAGTTCAGAAACCACTCCCCTATAATGGGGTTCGGTGGCATTATTCCTAATTCTCAGGCACTCTGAGACTAAAGTACGGGGGCAACTGCGGTGGAATCATTTAGTTCACTGACTTCAACAACTACGCAAATACAAGTCTAAACAAAAATCTAAATATTGTACTGTTTTCAAAGTATTTTGACTTTTTTTTTAAAAATTAGTTGCTACCTCCTTTTGTTATTAATAAAGGCCATTCTAAAAATTCTGCCTTTTATTTGTTTTCTACTGGCTCCGTGAGGCGCACCGTGCTTGGACCCCAGTGATCACCACTTGTGATGTAACAGACAGTTGCTTAAACTCATAGCAGTTCACAGAAATCAACATGCTCTACATCAATTTCTGATGAACACTATATGGAAGCTGGTTGTCTTGGTTGCTAACAACGATAATTTACACATTAACCTTTTTTGCCCATCGTTTAAAAGCTGCTGGAAATATGAATATGCAAAAACAAAACCAACTTCACCACACCAAACATGTCTCTCTTTTCATGCTTTGGTAATGATATCTTAGATCTGATTCACCCATAAAAATGAACTATTATTCCTGCTCTGTGTTTCCTTAAATCTACACGATTCACGTTGAACAGCATATTCTTCATCAAAAATAGCGGAAGGCAATGAGTTTGTATGTATGTTAAAAGTTATGAATGTTTGTTCCCTCTCCTGAAAAATCACCATTAATAAGGTTTTAATAGCAATAATGTATATAATATCTTGTTCCTTGTTCCTTAGTGACAACTCACACTGTACTTTTGAATAGACCATTGAGTACAACCAACACCTACGATTTATACAGTCATACTGTTTGAAAAAACACTTAGTCTGATTGACATTCTATGTCAAACGCAGCTCCTACCGACTACCGATCGCTCTGTCTACGGACATTCATCAATAAAGCTGTTTCATTCAAAATAACACACTGCACATCCAAGTACTGAGCAAAAATGCTGAGAAACTGAGCTACAGCACCTTTGCTAACTTGTGCCACACTGTGCCCTGAAATTAAAACCAGGTGGTGTACATGAGTAGGACAATACAGACTCTCTACAGCCTATTTTACAAAGACAGTTTAAAAAAATTACTACATCAAAGTTTGTACTTCGCAATTCTGTTCAGTCAGAGTAAAGTCAGTATATAAGTACTTTGGTAGCAAGCGTCAAGTTTTTTGCCTCCATTTTTTTAGCTTATGTGTCTCCACCCATACTGTGGAAGTAGATGTGTTTGTGTTTATGCATGCCTAAAAACAACCTAAATTCACAAAGTATGTCTGGAAGGAATATGCCAAGGCAGAAGGTTTAAAGGAATGTTTAAAGAACAATGACTTTGCGTCTAAAGGCCACGGAGTCATTATCCCTTCTCAGTGTTAGTAGACCCTTGTTCACTGCCAGCTCGAGTCATTTGTTCATTAGCACAGCAGTCTACACTAGGCTTCCATCACATGGTATCAGCTGGAATCAGATGTTGGTATCAGTGCAGTTTTATGACTATGAGTTTGAGTAAATGAGCACAGTATTGAGCAGTATCGATAACCAATACCAGTATAGTATCGATGCATCCCTAAATATAATGGACCTATGTAAGATCCTATGTCCTTACACTCTATAAATACAAGTTTCTCTGTGTGTGTGTGTGTGTGTGTGTGTGTGAGACAGTGCCCAATGAGCCCCAGAGGGCTTCCAGGCACATGTACTGATTGACTTGCAGAGCCAGAGACAGCAGCCTGAGAAATAAAGCCAGAATAATCCTCCATGCAAATGACGCTAGCTCTCCTCTCCTCCATTAGCCTTCCAACTTAGTCAGTTTGCGTCTCTCCCATCCTCTCTCCCTGTCCCTGCAGTGGCTCCAGGGGTCTCTGGGAGTTTACTTTTCCGTGTTTGCTGTCTTCAGCGGACGGGCGGAGTTTGGGGTGTAGCGGCTTTCTGCACCCGCTCCACGGCAGCTTAACACTCATGCAGTATTTAAAGAGGGAGCTGTGAGGCTGCGAGAGGAGGAGGCGAGCTGCCAATCAGGTGTTTAGAGGTCTTTAGGCTTCATCTTGCCTGTAAAACAGATGTGGGACTGTGTGGATGTTTACTGTGCATGAGGGAGAGAAAGAGAGGGGAAAAGAGTCTGTCTCCACAGTACCTCAGATACTGTTGCTACACTGCAGAAAATCAATAAAGAAATGAGTAAAGAGAAAAGAAAAAATTCTTACTCAACAGAAAGTACACTTTATTCAGCTCAGAGAAGATGCTGTCAAACAATGTTTTTCATCTTTAATCCTGAAGCACTGCTTCAGGTGTATGGGTTGGTTTACATTTTGGTGTACTGGGGAAAGGCAAAAGGTGGAATAACAGACTCTTGTTATACATGAGCACATTTTTTTTAATCACAGCCATTTTACTTTTACCTGAGTTTTTTCCAAATAAAGTAATTGGTAACACTTTTTTGGATAGTACACTTTAGATGCTTTGTAGATACTTTTACTTTTTTACTTTTTTTTTTTCTTTTAGGTTACATTTTACCAAATATCCACTAAATTGACTATAAATTTCTTTAACTCTAAACCTGGCTCTAATCCTAATCCTAACCTTAACCTCAACCTAAAACCTAAACCCAACCCTCACTCTGGCCCTAGCCCTAACCCTGGTCCAAATCCTAACCCTAACCCCACCACTGTGTAGGATCAACTGAGTTTCAACAACTAGTTTGTTAACAATTAGAACATCTGTAGATAATCTATCGTGGACCATCCAAATAAATTGAGACCAAGTATTTAGTTATTTTATTAAAAGCTATTTTAATAATATTTAATATCACATTCAACCTGAGGAAGCAATTACCCAGCTGGTTAACTAATGTTAGCTAAACATCTAGGTCTTCATTTACTATTTCTGATCATTTCAGAAAGATAAGCATGATAGCTCTTTATTAACCCCAAAGCTGCTGTTTGATTGTGAGCACCTGTTAGCGAGATAATTTTGTTAAGGAAAAAGTAATATTCAAAGTCAGCTAGTGAGCTTAGGTGGCCAATAAAGGCACTGAAACTTGGAGCATTAGGAACCTTAGTTTAAGATGAATAATAACTAAGGTTGTTTTCGCACTTGGCAGGTTTGGTTCCATTAAAAATGAACCCTGGTGCAACTGCTCTCTCAGGATGCTTTCAGGCCTACCTTCTTTGGTAAACCAAGAAAAAAGAACCAAAATAGCAGGTGTGAAAGGTGCCTCAAACCACGGTCTGGACCAAAGGACCAAAAGT